TGTCTTGAGTTTGATCAGATCTGGAGTAAAACCAGGCAGGGATCGGGATCAGTATCGAGTATCGAGTCGTTTGTGCGTACGGTGACAGCTCTCGTTTGCACTACTGCCCTTGTGTCGTGGAGCAGAACACTTCCGCAGTGTGTGTGTGTGTGTGTTTGCACCTGCGGTTGAATGTGATTTTCCACATTAAATGGTAGAACTTTCTTTTCCATTTCCAGGTCCAGGACTAAACCAGAACTAAATCAGGTCTGAGACAGAACCAGAGACAGAACCAGAGACAGAACCAGAGACAAAAACAGAGACAGAACCAGAGACAGAACAGAGACAGAAACCAGAGACAGAGACAGCAGAACAGAAACAGAGACAGAAAAACAGAACAGAGACAGAACAGAGACAGAACAGAGAGAAACAGAAACAGAGACAGAAACAAGAGAACAGAACCAGACAGAACAGAGACAGAGAGAAACAGAGACGAACAGAGACAGAGAACAGAAACAGAGACAAAAACAGAGACAGAAACAGAGACAGAAACAGAGACAGAAACAGAAACAGAACAGAACAGACAGAACAGAGACAGAAACAGAGACAGAAACAGAGACAGAACCAGAGACAGAAACAGAACAGAGAAACAGAAACAGAGACAGACAGAACAGAGACAAACAAAAACAGAGACAGAAACAGAGACAAAACAGACAGAAACAGAGACAGAACAGAGACAGAAAACAGACAGAAACAGAGACAGAACCAGAGACAAAAACAGAGACAGAAACAGAGACAGAACAGAGACAAACAGAGACAGAAAACAGAGACAGAACAGAGACAGAGACAGAAACAGAGACACAGAAACAGAAACAGAGACAGAAACAAAAACAGAGAGAAACAGAAACACAGAGACAGAAACAACAGAGAGACAGAAACAGAGACAGAAACAGAGACAGACAAAAACAGAGACAGAGACAGAGAAACAAAAAACAGAGACAGAACCAGAGACACAGAAACAGAGACAGAAACAGAGACAGAAACAGAGACAGAAACAGAGACAGAACCAGAGACAGAACCAGAGACAGAACCAGAGACAGAAACAGAGACAGAAACAGAGACAGAACAGAACAGAAACAGAGACAGAACAGAGAAACAAGACAGAAACAGAGACAGAAACAGACAAAACAGAGACAGAAACAGAGAAAACAGAGACAGAACAGAGACAACAGAGACAGAACAGAGAACAGAAACAGAGACAGAACAGAGACAAAAACAGAGACAGAAACAGAGACAGAAACAGACAGAAACAGAGACAAAACAGAGACAGAAACAGAGACAACAGAAACAGAGACAAAAACAGAGACAAACAGAGACAGAACAGAGACAAAAACAGAGACAGAAACAGAGACAGAAACAGAGAAACAGAGACAAAACAGAGACAGAAACAGAGACAAAACAGAGACAGAAACAGACAAAAAACAGAGACAAAAACAGAGACAGAAACAGAGACAGAACAGAGACAGAAACAGAGACAAAAACAGAGACAGAAACAGAGACAAAAACAGAGACAGAACAGAAACAGAGACAGAAACAGAAACAGAAACAGAGACAGAAACAGAGACAAAAACAGAGACAGAAACAGAGACAGAACCAGAGACAAAAAAAAGAGACAAAACCAAAGACTGAACCAGAGACAGAGACGAGTTTGACACACTTCAGACTTCAGCTACACAAAACGACTCATCTCTGCTGTAGTTCCACAAAACAGCTCGACAATCTCAGCAAAAATATAAAATAGAGTTGTCAAAAATATCGAAAAAATCAAACTCTAATCGATATTAAAACTATTATCGAAACTAGACACTCGTTTGGGCCTTTCCTGAACACTTTTTTGTCTTGAGTTGGATCAGATCTGGATCTGGATCAGTATCGAGTATCGCGTCTGTTGGTTAGTCTGTGCTCCTGCCCTTGTGCCATGGAGCAGAACACTTCCTCCGTGCGTGTGCGTGTGTGTGTTACGTGTGTGTGTGTGTGTGTGTTTGCGCCTGCGGTCGTGTCTCCGAGTCAAAGTGTCACTTCACATTAGCGCGTCGTTTTCTTCACTCCAGCGCTTCGTATCGGCTCCATTACCGTCCACAAACTCTGACTGATCTAATTTACAACCGCGCCATTACACACGCACACACACCGCGCACACACACACACACACACCGCGCACACACAACGACCACACACACACACACACAGAACACACACACACTCAGAGTCAGAACGGCTGTTTTTGTTTGTATTTTTGTGCTTTAAATCCACCTGTAATTGAATAAATGTGAAGTAAAAAGCAGTAATGTAGTAAAATATAAAGATCTGTTTAATGTCACACTGCGGAACATTCCAGACAGAGCAATGACGTCTCCATAGAAACAAAAAATACTCAATTAATATCTACAATATCTACTACAAGAAAATACAATACAGTTTAATACAAAAATGAAACCTTGAAATGTAGAAGTGGATGTTTTACATCTGAAAATAGAATTTACAAATTTATGAGGAAAAAAGTTGCACAATGCAGGTTTTGTTTCTTTTTTGTCTCTTTTTCGTCTCTGGTTTTGTCTCTTTTGTCGCTGGTCTTGTCTCTTTTTGTTATTGGTTTTGTCTCTTTTTGTCTCTGGTTTTGTCTCTTTTTTGTCTCTTTGTCGTCTCTTTTTTGTCTCTGGTTTTGTCTCTTTGTCTCTGCAGGTAAAATTATTCAAACAGTTTTTTTTCTTTCCTGTTTTTGTGTTTTGTTTTGTCTCCAAACGTAAAACGTAAAACTCCAGATCCAAATGTGTCTGTGTTTAAATCTGTTTTTTATATTTTTCACCGTTGACGCTTTGACAAATGATGAAAATTCACGATTTTAATATTTATCAGCACCTGAACAAAAGATTTATTTTGTTTGGGAAAGTAAAAGTAAAACAGTGAACTAGATTTTTTGGGCGAAAACGTTTTTCTGTTTGTGATTAGTTGTGAAAATATCTCCTTCTTTCTGTCTTTTTTTTGTTTTTGTTGACGCTTCGACAAATGATGCAAATCCACAGTTTTAATGTTTAACAGCACTGAAACTAAAGAGCTTTTTTAAATATGAGAATTTAATGTTTGGGAAAGTCGAAGTAAAACTGTAAATTTTATTTTTTTGGTGAAAACGTTTTGCTGTTTGCGATTTGTCGTGCAAATATCTCCCTTAACATTTTAATTGAAAACGTTAAAAGTTTGAGAGTGCAGTATTTGTCTGAGGAGTACGACATAAAAACTAAATTAAAATTTTTCTTTATTTTAATTTTTAACAGCGCTTTAGCGAAAGAGCTTTTTTAAATGGGAGATTTTGATATTTGTTGAAGTACAAGGTGGGACGTAGAAACTGTGAATTTGAATTTTTTGGTGAAAACATGTTATTTACGATGAATTATGAAAATATCTCCTTCTTTCTCTTATTTTTTTCACTGTTGACGCTTCGACGACTGACACAAATCCACTATTTTAATCAACGTTATCATTTTACATTTAAAAGTATGAGACTGTAGTATTTGCTTGAGTTGTGCGTCGTGAAATCTGAATTCAAATTTTTGTGTATTTTAATGTTTAACATCACTGGAACGAAAGAGGTGATTTTAATATTTGTCAAAGTAGAAGGCGGGACATAAAAACTGTGAATTTGATTGTTTTTGGTGAAAACGTTTAGTTATTTGCGATTAGTCTTGGAATTATCTCCCTCTTTCTCTTATTTTTTCACTGCTGAAGGCGTCGACAAATTACGCAAATCCACAGTTTTAATGAACATTTTAGTTTAACATTTTAAAAGTGTGAGGATGCAGTGTGTTTGAGTAATAAGTCGTGTTGTTTTTGTGTTAAAATTCAGTATTTAAATTGATCTCACTGTTTCAAACTCACAGTCAGTAAATTTTTATTATTTGAAGTATTAGAGTTTGTGATAGTTTAATAATGTTTAATAGAACGTGGACAAAAGTGATTTTTTAAAAGTTCGAGAGGCGTGAAAATTCAGTACTGAAGTTTTAGTCTCTGTTTATAATTCACCTGTTCAATTTGTGTCTTTAGTTTTTTTTTTTTTTGTGTTTGTCTCGTCTCCGTTTGACGCGTTTTATCTCAAAATATTAACAAATGTGAGTGGATTTTTATTATTTTAAGTTTTAATATTTGCAAACTTATGAAAATGTGTTTTTTGTTTCTGTCTGGAATTTCCTCCTCAATCTTTGACTCTAAAAATATTTGTCCCATTTTTACAGAAGTGAATTTTTTATTTATTTTTTTGCTGTGGATGAAAATTATGCAGATTTTAATATTTAACAGAATTTGAATGAAAGTGTTTTTTAAACTCAGAATGTTTATCTTTTTGACAGAGTAGAAGGTGGAGCATAAAAACTGTGAATTTGAATTTTAGATGAAAAAGATTTTGCAATTTGTGATTATAGTTGTTAAAATATCATCTGCATTTTATATTTTTCACTTTTGATGCCTCGATAAATTACAGAATTCCACTATTTTATTGAAGTTTTTGGAAAAGTATGGAGATGTAGTATTTGTAGAAGGTAAAAAACTACAGTAAATTTGATTTTTTTTTTTTTTTGCTTAAATTAAATACTGAAATTTAGCTCAGTGGTCGTTGAATTCTTCTTATTTTAATCATTATTATTATTTGTGATTAGTTTAATGTTTAATATCTGATAAAAATTAGGAAAATTTATGAAAATATTTTGTTATTTGAGATTACTCTTGGAAATATCTCCTTTTTTCTCTTAAATTTTTCACGGTTGAAGCTTCAACGTCACTATTTAATGAATATTTGAATTATTAAGTTTGTTTAAGAATGTTTTATTTTCTTGTAACTGAATTTGATTTTTTTGGTGTGAAAATTCAACACTAAAAAGTAACTCTGTGTCTTTAGTTTCTTGCCTCTTGTGAAGTGTCGTTGAGCGTTTAAAAATGTGCCATAAACGTTTAGTCAATAATAATTTAATAATATGTTTTATGTGTTTTATGAGGGAGCAGCAGGTCGCAGAATCTGAATTAGAATTTTTTAGTGTAAAAGTTTTACTCTTTGATATTCGCAGTGTAAATCTTCTCGTTCTTGTTTTGTGATCAGCGTCTGTAGATTTTTCCGCGTGTTGTCGTTCGTCTCGTTCGGCGTCTCGTTCGTCTCGTTCGTCTCGTTCGTCTCGTTCTGGAGCGAGTGACTCTGAGGTTGGAGATTTAGGGGTCAGAGGTCAAAGGTTAAGTCCACGCACTCC